GACAGCTGCGTATGCGCCGCCCGCAGCAGGGCGCGCACGGCAGCCGGCCGCGAGATGACTCCAGCCAGGGCGAGCTGCGCGGGGTTGATGGGGCCGCCGCCGCCGTCGACGTCGCCGCCCGTAGGCCCGTTGCGTTGAAAACTTAAGTGCTGCGCCGCGGCTGCCAGATTACCGCTCAGCAGCCACAGCCGCATCTCCGAGACGCCCTCGCGGCCGCCGCCGCCGCCGCCCTCGCAGCCATCGAGCGCCTCGAGCGCGTCGATCAGGGCGGCCACGCGGCCCTCTGTCAGAAAAGCGTCCGCTGCTGCTCGCACGTTCAGCAGTGTCAGGAGCGCTCGGTTGGTGGTCAGGGATGTGATGAAGTCCGCTTTGGTCGCCAGCGCGCTGCCGCCGGCCTGGCACAGGTGCTGCAGCAGTTGGTCCAAGGAGCGCTCGCTGGGCACCTCAACCGCCCTGGTGGGGCTACTGCTTGCGGCTGCGCGGCATGCGTGCTGCAGTCTCTCAATCGCCGCGCTGGCGGCGTCGCGGCGGCCGCTGTCGATGCATGACAGCAGCTGTCGCAAGGCTGCCTCCATTGGGCTGCGTTGAGCCAATGGGCGACGGCACGGAGCAGCCGTGGCGTGCTGCATCGGCAGGCGGCACAATTTGCGCGCTTCGGTGAGACAGCAGGAAAAGGGGTGGCTGGGGAAACCAACAAGCGCAGCGCAAGCAGGGTGCGCACTTGTACTGTGTGTGCTGACTGCAAGTTTGCGGTGTGCTCTGCGCAAGGCCACGTGCCCACTATGCCACGCACCCAACCACACTCCAGTTCTACTGACGGCGTCCTGAGTCCGCTTGTTATGCGGCCCCGGGCCCTTTCGCAAACTCCGATCCCGACGCACGGACGCGATTTGTGTGTAGGGTACCTGCACGGAATGGCTAACTACGGTTTCCAAGATAATTGGCCGTCCCACGCAGCTGGAAGGTGAATGTGTTGCCACTTAGCGCAGGTCATCGGCTTGTCCTGCCGGCAGGCTGCGGCACCCCAGGGTGGGCGCAGCAAACGGCGAGCAGAAGCACGGTCCGGCCTGCGAATAGGAGGGCCAGGCAGCATTAATGTCTTTGAAGACTGAAGTGTGCCTCTACAGTAGCACTCATGATGTGCAGCACCACCTCTTGAAAGCTGTCATCCCCGCGCTGCGTCGCCCACCCTCCACTGCCACACCCACACCCATAGGCCCCATAGCAACGGCCTAGGCCTTGACAAAACGGCTAGATTTTCTAGCCCTGCATATACAGACATGCCTCCCGATCCGTGCCCTTATATGCTCACCTGCCCGCACAAGTCGCATGCGTGCCTTTGCCTGCAGTGCAGACCAGCCCGCACATCGGGCCTTTGCGCGCGCCTGCTTCATACCGCACACGCGAGGCACCTGAATCACAACCACAAAACCTTGATGCCTATTATGCAATCCCATGATGCCATGAGCCTGGATGGCTCCAGAGGAGATGGGCGGCCATGGAACGCTGCGACAAGCGAATCCCCTCCGCCCATCAGCCCCGTGCTGCCAGGCATGCAGCTTTGGACAGGGTGCAGTGTTTGCCCAACCCCTCCTGGCTCCTGGGGTGCGCAGGAGGCCATTTCTGCGCGCGCCCGCTAGGGAGTGTGCCCGCCTGGCAGCCTGCCCGGCACGGTCCTTGTCTTGCTTGCTAATGTGAGGTTGGCTGAGGCCCGAATTCATTATCCACGGCTATCCTACCACCTTGTCAACTCCTGCAAGCTAGATCGCTTCCAAGTCAGGGGAAGGTAAGCGAAACCCCCAATCCTGATCCCCACAACAAGACAACAGCCGGCAAGTGTTGGCATTTCCAATCAACGAGTATGCCCGCCTTACAATGGTGTAACTTGACCTTGACAGCGCCGTGCTGCCACACACACCGCGCGATGGCCCCTCACCACCCAGTCCGTCCTGCAGCACTCCTGGCTGCAGTACCGCGTCCCGGTGACGCGCCCGCAACCCGCGCAGCGCCGCAGCTCAGCGCCTTCGAGCGCCGTCCTGCGGCAGACGGCGCATGCGCTGCGTGGGCGCCCCCTTCTTGTACACCTTGTCACTCGTGTGCTTGGCGCCTGCTGCGTGCGTGGCTTGTCCTCCTGCTGCGACTGCTGCTGCTGCTGCTGCTGCTGCTGCTGCTGCTGCTGCTGCTGCTGCTGCAACGTCGGCTGCACCAACCGAAGCTCGCCGGCCCTCAGCTGGGCAAGAGCCAGGGCAGCGCGCTCCCCCACGCGCCCGTTCGTGTCATGGCAGCCCGCAAGGCACCCCAACACGTCCTCTACGGCCCTGCCATCGCTCTCCAGCTCACAAAGTCCAGACCACACGTCTGCGGGCCGCTCCTTGCACACCTCCAGCACAGCGCGCGCAAAGCCAGGCAGGCAGTTTGTCGGCGCCACGCTTGCAGCCAACAGGCAGAGGGTGAGGAGTGCTGTTTGGCCGTTATCGCCCTGGTCGGGGGCGGCCGCCGAGGCCGACAACAGCTCCAGAATGCCTGGCGCCTGGATCAGCCGGGGCCGCCAGCCGGGGCGCAGCATCGCCAGCAAGAGCAGGTGTGGTATCGCATGATCATCCGCGTCCAGCAAGGCGGCGATGGCGACCTGCTTTTCCTCGGCCTTCACAAGCTCCCTGCTGCCGTCACCTTCTGCAGGGTGCTGCTGCTGCTGCGGCTGCTGCTGCTGACCTGATGCGTGCGCTGCGTGTGTGATGGTGTAAAGTGCTGCTGCTGCGGCTGCCCACCACTCGACGTTTTGTGGCCCCATTCTGGCCGCGGCGCCCCGCAGCAGCTGCTGCGCTCTCAAGTGCGACAACGCGGCCGCCCATGTGTCGCTGTCAGCGCCGCCGCCAGCGACGATGCTGAACACTATCACGCAGACTGAGTGGATTCGTTCCATGTTTGCATCAGTCATCTGTCCGTCATCGCCTTCCAGCCAATAGCGCAGGCTCGCCACCACTGCCGCTGCAGCTGCTGGCACGACGGCGATGCTAGACGGCCGCGCCGACAGCGCCTCATGGGCCGCGATCGATGCCAGCAGCTGCGCTGCACAACCAGCGTCCGCAACAGAAGGAAACATCCCCAGATGCGTCGCTGCGCCGTCTGCTCCTCCGGTGCCGCCTCCGCCCCCGCCGGCACCACGGAGGGCGGCTATGCGCAACAGCTCCCTGAGAGTGTCAGGTCTGCAGCAAGCCGCGAGTGCCGTGCCAACACCCTGGTGGCCCCAGGGCCAGGCGTTGAGCGCTCTGATCATAACAAGAAACGACGACCTGGCCAGGCTGCTGTCGCCGTTCCGTCGTATGCACGCCACCACCTCGCCCATGGCAGCCGCGTGTGATGACAGGGCTGTTATCAAGGGACCGACAGCACTGCACATGCGTGAGGCGACGTAAAGCACTGCCTGCTGCCTTAGCGCAGCTTCGCCGGGCCCTATCCCAGGCCGCTGCTGCTGCCTGGCCTCGCCCAGCCGCAGCGCCACCAGCGGCGGCAGCGCCTCGCACAGCCAATCGGCGTCGGCGCCCCGCCACGCCGCGCGCGCCGCGGCGAACGGGTCCGCGGCGGAGGACGACGGCTCGCAGGGCACGGTGCAGGGCGCTGGCGTGGCGCGTCCTTGCAACAGCTCTGCAGCCAGGCACGCCCTCTCAAGCGCTGCCAGAGGGTCTCCTTCATAAAGCTCTGATGAGAGCTGTGTGTGCGCCGCCCGCAGCAGCACGCGCACTGCGGCCGGCCGCGCGATGACTCCAGCCAGGGCGAGCTGCGTAGGGGTGATGGGGCCGCCGCCGCCGTCGCCGCCGCCGCCGTCATCGCCGCCACCACTAGGCCCGCCGATCTGTGTGATCAAGGTCGTCGCCGCAGTTGCCAGTATCCCGCTCAGCAGCCACACCCGCACCTGCATCTCCAAAACGCCCGCGCACCCCCCGCCGCCCTCCTCGCATCCGCCGAGCGCCTCCAGTGTGTCGATCAGCGCGGCCACGCGACCCTCCGTTACAAACGTGTCCGCCACCACGGGCACAGTCAGCATTGTCATCAGCGCCTGGCTGGGAGCCGCAGATGTTGCAAAGTCCGCTTTGGTCGCCGGCGCGCTGCCGACGGCCCAGCACACATGCCGCAGCAGTCGGTCCAAGGAGCGCTCGCTGATGACCTCCACCGCCGTTTTGGGGCTGATGCCTGCGGCGGCGTGGCATGCCTGTCGGAGCCTGTCAAGCGCCACGCTGGCGGCGCCGTGGCGGCCGTTGTCGACACACGACAGCAGCTGTCGCAGGGCTGCCTCCATCGGGCTGTGTTGAGGACAATGCCACGGTGCGACCGCCGCGTGTCGCTGTGGCGGCGTCCGCTGCAAGACGCAAGATTGTGCGTGCTTCAATAAGACAGCAGGCAGTGGCACCGGTGCGGGCACGGTGGAATGTCAAGCGCAGCGCGAGCGGAGCGCGCCCTAGCAGAGGCACTGCGTGACCTGCACAGTACCGTAACGTATGCGTTGCCATGCGCGCCCACTATGCCACGCACCTATCACAAGTGGACTTAAGCTTTAGTAACGGCGTCCTGAGCCTTCTGAGACGCCCTCGAGCCCTTTTGCAAACTCCGATCCACAGCGCGCCGCACAGACGGGATTTGTGTTTGACTTCAAGGCATGGTCCGCGTATGCATATCAGGGCAATCGAAACGCCTCAAGCGGCTGGCAGGTTGTAGATATACGGTACCGTACTCGCACCTGGCTCGGGTCAGCCAGCTCAGCACTGCCCCCTTGCGTTGCTCAGCTCCAGCGGAGCGCTGCCCCCAGGAGGGTGGAGTACAGGGTGCACTGTTGGGGGGCATACCCCGACCCATTGCGCAAGGGAAGCCCCAGGTGAGTGCAGCAAGCGGCGCAAGCTGCAAGCACAAGCACCTACGAACAGGTAGCACGGCAGTGTCAACAATGTCTTTGTGTCTACTGTACAACAACGTGAGCGTGCAGTTGGACTCCTTATGTGCACGACCGCCTTCTGATTGATTACAGCGCAGCCGTCAACCACAGCGAGGCATTGGCCGTAACCGTGGCTGCACCACGGTTGAAACACCACGGTTAAACATCACTACGAGTGGTGTCCTTCCCCATCAACACACATGGCAGCCCTACACTGATTGAATCTGAGCTCGACTGTGCCGCACGGCCTCGCACACCGCGCGGTGGCCCCGCACCACCCAGTCCGTCCTGCAGCACTCCTGGCTGCAGTACCGCGTCCCGGTGACGCGCCCGCAGCCCGCGCAGCGCCGCAGCTCGGCGCCCTCCAGCGCTGTCCTCCCGCAGACTGCACACGCGCTGCGTAGGCGCTCCAACCTTGCGCCCCCTATAGCTCGTGTGCTTCGCGCCTGCTGCGTGCCTGGCTCCTCCTGCTCCTGCTGCAGCTGGTGCTTCTGTTGCTGCTCCTGCTGCTGCTGCTGCTGCTGCTGCTGCTGCTGCTGCTGCTGCTGCTGCTGCGACGGGTGCTGCTCCTCCTCCTCCTCCTGCTGCTGCTGCTGCTGCTGCTGCTGCTGCTGCTGCTGCTGCTGCTGCGACGGGGGCTGCTGCTGCTCCTCCTCCTCCTGCTGCTGCTGCTGCTGCTGCTGCTGCGACGGGGGCTGCTGCGACGGGGGCTGCACCAAGTGAAGCTTGCCGACCCTCAGCTGGGTCAGAGCCAGGGCAGCGCGGTCCCTAACGCGCGTGTCATGACAGCCCGCAAGGCACCCCAACACCTCCTCCACGGCCCCGCCATCGCTCTCCAGCGCAGGGAGTCCGGCCCATGCGTCAGCGGGCCGCTGGTTGCACACCTCCAGCACGGCCCGCGCAAAGCTTGGCAGGCGCTCCGCCGGCGCCGCGCTGACAGCCAGCAGGCAGAGGGTGCGGAGGGCCTTTTGGCTGTACTCGCCCTGGTCAGGGGTGGCCGCCGCGGTCGACAGCAGCTCCAGTATGTCTGGCACCTGGATGAGCCGGGACCGCCAGCCAGGCCGCAGGGCCGCCAGCAAGAGCAGTTGCGGGACCGCGTAAAGCCCCGCGTCCACCAAGGCGACGACAGCGGCCTGCTGCTCCTCCTCACCTTCCTCAAGCCCGCTGGTGGTGCCGCCTTGTGCAGGCTGCTGCTGCTCCTGCTGCTGCTGCTGCTGCTGCTGCTGCTGCTGCTGCTGCTGCTGCTGCTGCCGCTGCTGCTGCTGCTGCTGACCCGATGCGTGCACTACGGCGTAAAGTGCTGCTGCTGCGGCCGCCGCCCACTCGGGATTCCTTGGCCCTATCTCGGCCGCGACGCGCCGCAGCAGCTGCTGCGCTCCCAGGCGCGACAACGTGGCCGCCCATGACTCGCCGTCGGCGCCGCCGCCAGCGACGATGCTGAACACCAGCACACAGACTTGATGGACTCGCGACATGTTGCCATAAGTCATCTTCCCGCTGTCTACCTCAAGCCAATAGCGCAGGCTCGCCACTGCGGCAGCGGCCGCTGCTGGCATGGCGGCGATGCTGGACGGCCGCATGGACAGCGCCTCGTGGGCCGCGATCGATGCCAGCAGCTGCGCTGCACAACCAGCGTCCACAAGAGTCGGAAGCTGCCCTGGACTCGCGGGCGCGCCCGCGCCGGCCGCCACTTCGCTGCCGGCGCCGCCGCAGCCAGCGCCGCGGAGTGCGGTTGTGCGCAGCAGCTCCCCGAGAGTGTCGGGCTTGCAGCAAGCCGCGAGCACTGTGCTGGCGCCCTCGTGGCCCCACGGCCAGGCGTCGAGCGCGCTGGTCAGGATGAGTAAGGACAACCTGGCCAGGCTGATGGCACCGTTCCGGCATATGCGGGCTGCCACCTCGCCCATGGCAGCCGCGTGCATCGAGAGGGCCCTCCTCAGGGGACCAACCACGATGCACATGCGTCAGGCCACGAACAGCGCGGCGTGCTCCCGCAGCTCGGCTTCGCCCAATACTGTCCCCGGCCGCGACCTGGCCTCCCCCAGCCGCAGCGCCAGCAGCGGCGGCAGCGCCTCGCAGAGCCAGTCGGCGTCAGCGCCCTGCCACGTCGCGCGCGCCGCGGCGTGCGGGTCGGCGGCGGAGGACGGGGGCTCGGAAGGCGCAGCATGGGAGGCTGGCGTGGCACATCTTTGCACGTGGTCTGCAACCAGGAGCGCCGCCTCGACCGCCGAGAGAGGGTCCCCTGCAGACAGCTCTGTTGACTGCTGCGTGAGCGCCGCCCGCAGCAGGGCGCGCACCACGGCCGGCCGCGCGATGACTCCCGCCAGGGCGAGCTGCGCGGGGGTGATGAGGGGGGCCCCGCCCACAGGTCCGCTGCGTTGCTCGGTCAAGGCCGTCGCCACGCTCCCCAGGCTGTCGCTCAGCAGCCACAGCCGCATCTCCAAAACGCCCCCGCGGCCGGCGGCGCCGCCCTCCTCGCAGCCGCCGAGCGCCTCGAGTGCGTCGATCAGCGCGGTCACGCGGCCCTCCGTCAGAAAAGCGTCCGCCACAGCGGGCACGGTCAGCAGTGCCAGTAGCGCCCAGTTGGACGATTTGCATGTGATGAAGTCCGCTTTGGTCGCCAGCGCGCTGCCGCCTGCCTGGCACAGGTGCCGCAGCAGTCTGTCCAAGGAGCGCTCGCCGGGGACCTCAACCGCCGCGGTGCTTGCGGCTGCGCGGCATGCGTGCTGCAGCCTCTCGAGTGCCGCGCTGGCGGCGTCGCGGCGGCCGCTGTCGATGCATGACAGCAGCTGTCGCAGGGCCGCCTCCATCGGGCTGCGTTGAGCCAATGGGCGACGGTACGGAGCAGTCGTGGCGTGCTGCATCGGCAGGCGGCACAACTGGCGCGCTTCAATGAGACAGCAGGAAAGGGGGTGGCTGAGGGGGGCAGTGCGAACATAGCGCGCACCTGTACTGCGCGTGCTGACTGCAGTGCTGCAACTTTGCAGTATGCTCAATGCAAGGCCGCGTGCTTGCCACGCACCCAAGTTTGACTCCAGTTCTAGTGATGGCGTCCTGACTCCTGAGCCCTGTTTTATGATACGCCCCCGGGCCCACACTTTCGCAAACACCGATCCCCACGCACGGACGCGAGACTTTGTGTCTAAGTACCTGCAAGGAATAGTCCACGCACGTTTTTGAAGATGATTGGGCCTCCCACGCAGCTGCAAGGTCAATGTGCTGCCGCCTAGCGCAGGCCAGCTGCAGGCCTTCCCTTCATGTGTAGGCTTTGGCAGCGGCGTTCCTCATCTGGCCCACAACCAGGGGTCCCCAGGGTGGGTGCAGCAAGCGGGGAGCAGAAGCGCCTGGCCTGCAGATAGGAGGCGAGGCAGCATGAATGTCTTTGTCGCCTGAAGGGTGCCTCTGCAATTGCACTCATCATGGTCAGCCCCGCCTTGTAGAGCTTTGACCCCCGCGCTGCGTAGCCCACCCTGCACTACAACTCCCCCAACCCATTCCCCCCGTTGCAGCGGCCTAGGACTTGGTAAAACAGCTATGCTTGGTTGCCCTGCATGTGACGAGCTGCGCCCTTATTTGCACACCTGCCCGCACCAGCCGCATGCGCGGTGTTGCATGCAGTGCAGACCAGCCCTGCACGTGGGACCTTTGCGCGCCTACTTTATACGGCGCACGCTCGCCAGCTGAATCCCAGTCACAAAATCTTGATGCTCAGAGTGCAATCCCCTGAGCCTAGATGGTTCCAGAGGAGATGGGCGGCCGCAGAATGCTGCGACGAGGAGATCCCCGCCGCACGGCACTAGGTGCTGCCGAGCATGCCGCTGGACTGGGTGCAGTGTTTGCCCAACCCAACCTGGCTCCTGGGGTGCACGGGAGGCGGTTGTTGGCGCGCGCCCGCTCGGGCGTGTGCCCGCCGGGCTGTCTGCCCGTCGCGATCCGTGTCTGATTTGCTTCGTGGGGGTGGCTAAGGCCGTAACTCATCCCTCCCTTAGCTATCCTGCCGCCTTGTATAGAACTCTTGAAAGCTAGCAAGCTCCCAATTCAGGGGACGTACGTAGAGGAAGCCCCCAATCCTGGTCCCCCAAAAACAGAAACAGATGACAAGTGGTGTCTTTACCATCAACGCGCATGCCAGCCTTAGACTGGTGAACCTCAAGCTGAGCAGCGCTGCGCTGCCTCGCACACCGCGCGGTGCCCCCTCACCACCCAGTCCGTCCTGCAGCACTCCTGGCTGCAGTACCGCGTCCCTGTGACGCTCCCGCAGCCCGCGCAGCGCCGCAGCTTGGCACCATCGCGCGCCGTCCTGCCACACACGGCACACGCGCTGCGTGGGCGCTCCCTCCTTGCGCCCCCTGTAGCCCGTGTGCTTGGCGCCTGCTGCGTCCCCGGCTTGTCCTCCTGCTGCTGCTGCTGCTGCTGCTGCTGCGAAGGGGGCTGCACCAACTGAAGCTCGCCGGCCCTCAGCTGGGCAAGAGCCAGGGCAGCGCGCTCCCCAACGCCCCCGTCCGCCTCATGGCAGCCCGCAAGGCACCCCAACACCTCCGCCACAGCCTTGCCATTGCTCTCCAGCTCAGGGACTCCGGCCCACGCGTCAGCGGGCCGCTGGTTGCACACCTCCAGCACGGCCCGCGCGAAGCCAGGCAGACGCTCGGCCGGTGCCGTGCCCGCAGCCAGCAGGCAGAGGGTGCGGAGGGCTTTTTGGCTGTACTCGCCCTGGCCTGGGGTGGCCGCTGCAGCTGACAGCAGCTCCAGGATGCCTGGCACCTGAATCAGCCGGGGCCGCCAGCTGGGCCGCAGCACAGCCAGCAACAGCAGTTGCGGGACCGCGTAAAGCCCCGCGTCCAGCAAGGCGGCGATGGCGACCTGCTTCTCCTCAGCTTCCACATGCCCACTGCTGCCGTTGCCTTCTGCAGGCTGCTGCTGCTGCTGCTGCTGCTGATGCTGCTGCTGCTGCTGCTGACACGAGGCGTGCGCTGCGTGTACGACGGCGTAAAGTGCTGCTGCTGCAGGCGCCCACCACTCTATGTGTTGTGGGCCTAACTCAACCGTTGCGCGCCTCAGCAGCTGCTGCGCTCCTAGGCGCGACAACGTGGCCGCCCAGGCATCGCCGTCGGCGCCGTCGCCAGCGACGATGCTCAACACTGCCACGCAGACTTGGTACAATCGCGACCTGTTCCCATCCGTCGTCTGACCGCCGTGGCCTTCCAGCCGTGCGCGCAGGCTCGACACCACTGCCGCTGCGGCTGCTGGCATGGCGGCGATGCTAGACGGCCGCGCCGACAGTGCCTCGTGGGCCGCGATCGATGCCAGCAGCTGCGCTGCACAACAAGCGTCCGCAAGAGAAGGAGACAGCTCCAGGCCCGCCAGCGAGCGGTCTGCTCCTCCGCTGCCGCCCCCGCCACCGCCAGCGTCGCGGAGGGCCGCTATGCGCAGCAGCTCCCCGAGAGTGGCGGGTTTGCAGCACGCCGCGAGCGCCGTGCCGGCGCCATGGTGGCCCCAGGGCCAGGCGTCGAGGGCGCTGATCAGGACAAGAAACGACGCCCTGGCTAGGCGGGTGTCACTATTCCGGCGTATGCAGGCTGCGACCTCGCACATGGCGGCCGCGTGCGACGACAGGGCTGCTGTCAGAGGACCCACCGCGCTGCACATGCGTGAGGCAACAAAAAGCGTGACCTGCTGCCTTGCCGCGGCTCCGCAGGGCCCTGCCGCCGGCTGCTGCCTGGTCCCTTCCATCCGCAGCGCCAGCAGCGGCGGCAGCGCCTCGCAGAGCCAATCGGCGTCGGCGCCCTGCCACGCGGCGCGCGCTGCAGCAAACATGTCGGAGGCGGAGGAAACAGACTCCCCAGGCCTATCGCAGGGCGCTAGTGTGGCGCGTCCTTGCAACAGCTCTGCAGCCAGGCACGCCCTCTCAAGCAATAAGAGAGGATCCCCGCTATACTGATTCAACGACAGCTGCGTGTGCGCTGCCCGCAGCAGGGCGCGCACTGCGGCCGGCCGCGCGATGACTCCAGCCAGGGCGAGCTGCGCGGGGGTGATGGGGCCGCCGCCGCCGTCGCCGCGGCCGTCGTCATCGCCCCCACCGATAGGCCCGCCGATTTGCGTGATCAAGGCCGACGCTGCTGTTGCCAGAATCCCGCTCAGCAGCCACGGCCGCAGTTCAAAGCCCTCGCCGCCGCCGCTGCCGCCCTCCTCGGCGCCGTGCAGCCCCTCCAGTGCTTCGATCAGCGCGGTCATGCGGCCCTCTGTCACAAACGCGTCCGCCGCCGCGGGCACGGTCAGCAGCTCCAGCAAAGCCTGGCTGGAGGCCGCGCACGATTTGGTTGCCGGCGCTCGGCTGCTTTCCGAGCACACATGCCGCAGCAAGCGGTCAAAGGAGCGCTCGCTGGGCACCTCGACGGCTGCGATGGGGCCGCCGTCTGAGGCGGTGCGGCATGCCTGTAGCAGCCTCTCGAGCGCCGCGCCGGCGGTGTCGCGGCGGCCGCTGTCAATGCATGACATCAGCTGCCGCAGGGCCGCCTCCATCGGGCTGTGCTGCGCCAATGGATGATGGCGCGCTGCAACCGTGGCGCTGCGCCGTGGCGCCCGCTGCGGCAGGACGCAACATTGGCAGACTTCAACCAGACACGGAACGGGACTGCTGGGGAGTGATGAACTGCCCAAAGCGCAGCGCGAGCGGAGCGCGCACCGGCACTGCGTTACTGCAGTCTGCAGTCCAGTACGCTCAACGCAAGTATGCCCAACGCAAGGCCGCGTGCGCCAACAATGCCACGCACCTTGATTGACTCGAGTTCTATGAACGGCGTCCTGAGCCTTCTTAGAGGCCCCCTGAGCCCTTTCGCCTCCGATGCCCGGATCTACAGCGCCGCACAGACGCAGTTTGTATTTATTTACCTGCAAGCAATGATCCGATTATGCGTTTTAGGGTAGCTGGGCGTTTCAAGCGGCTGGCAGGTAGATACACTGCCGCCTGGCTTGGGTCACCAGGTGAGAACTGGCACTGAGGCACCCCCTTGCCCAGGGTGGTGTGCGGGGTGTCTGTCTGGGAGTATATGTATGTACATGATTGTGCCCCGACACTCAACTTCCAAGGAAGCCCAGGGGAAGCCCAGGCGAGTGCAGCAAGCAGCACAAGTGGCGAGCACACGACCAGGCCTGCAAACACATGGCAAGGCAGCAATAACAATGTCTTCTGTCAACTGAAACGTGCTGTCAATGGACTCCTCTCATGTCCAGCGCCGCCTAGTGAGAGCTTACAGCGCAGCCGTCCCCCGCAAGAAGGCATTAGCCAGCAGTGGCGTCGTTGACCTTCAACACATGTGCCAGCCTGACACTGATCAAGTTGGCTTGGCTGCGCCGCGCTGCCTCGCAGACTGCGCGGTGGCCCCTCACCACCCAGTCCGTCCTGCAGCACTCCTGGCTGCAGTACCGCGTCCCGGTGACGCGCCCGCAGCCCGCGCAGCGCCGCAGCTCTGCGCCTTCGCGCGCCGTCCTGCCGCAGACGGCGCACGCGCTGCGCGTGCGCTGCCTTCTCGCGTCCCCTGCAGCTCGTGTTCCTGGCACCTGCTGCGTGTCCGGCTGGTCCTCCTGCCGCTGTGGCCGCTGCCATCGCTGCTGCTGCTGCTGCTGCTGCTGCTGCTGCTGCTGCAGCTGCAGCTGCTGCTGTGCTGCCGTCTCAATCATGATGCGGCCAGCCCTCAGCTTGGCAAGAGTCGAGGCAGCACGCTCACTCGCGCACCCGCCGGCCTCATGGCAGCCCGCAAGGACATCCAACACCTCGTGCGCGGCCGCCACGCCGCCTTCCCCTGGCAGATCAGGGTGGTTGAAGGCGTCCGCCGGCCGCTCGCCGCACCGCTCCAGCATGGTGCGCGCAAAGCCAGGCAGGCGCTCAACCGGCGCCGCGCCCGCAGCCAGCAGGCAGAGGGCTTGAAGCGCCTGTTCGCATTCGTCCTGGTCTGGGTCGGCCGCTGCGGCTGACAGCAGCTCCAGGATGCCTGGCGCCTGGATCAGCCGGGGCCGCCAGCCGGGCCGCAGCACCGCCAGCCAGAGCAGGTGTGGGACTGCTTGAGAACCAGAGTTGCCCAACGCGGCGGCAGCAGTGGCTTGCATCTGCTCCGCTGCCTCAGACCTGCTGCTGTGTCTGTGCTCAACAGGCAGCTGCTGCTGCTGCTGCTGCTGCTGCTGCTGCTGCTGCTGCTGCTGCTGCTGCTGCTGCTGCTGCTGCTGCTGCTGCTGCTGCTGCTGCTCTGTAGTGTGCAGCGCAGAAGCAACAGAATAGAGTGCTGCTGCGATGGGCGCCGACCACCCTGGTCGGATTGCCTCCATCTCAACCACCGCGCGCAACAGCAGCTCTTGCGCCCCCAGGCGCCACAGAGTGGCCGCCCAGGCGTCACCGCCTGCACCATGCCCGGCAACAACACGCAAAATCACAAAGCAGATGTGGTGCAGCCCCAAGAAATTCCCAGCAGGCACCTGGTTGCCGACCTTTGACAGCCAGCCGCGCACGCTCGACACGATCGCTGCTGCGGCCGCGGGCGCGGTGGCAATGCTGGATGGCCGCCCCGCCAGCGCCTCATGGGCGGCAACGGTGGCCAGCACTCGCGCCGCAGGTCTGCCGTCCGTCCCCCAGATCCAAGCCCCCGCCCCCCTTGTCGCGCAGGGCTCCCTCGACCCGCCACTCCCACCGCCGAGTCCACAGATGTCGCCGCGCCCGATCAGCCGCAGCAGCTCCCCGAGAGTGTCGGGTTTGCAGCAAGCCGCGAGTGCTGTGCCGGCGCCGTGGTGGCCCCACGGCCAGGCATCAAGCGCGATGCCCAGGAGCTGCGTTGCTGGCTTGGCGACTTTTGCGCTACTGCCCGGCCTCACGCATGCGGCCACCATGCCCATGGCCTCTGCATGCAAGGACAAGGCTTCGTCCAAGCCGTCAGCCGCCTCGCACATGCCGAACGCGGCAGACAGCGCCGCTTCATGCGCGCTGGCCAACCCGCCGATCGCCCACCGCCGCTGCTGCGACTCCCCAAGCCGCAGCGCCAGCAGCTGCGGCAGCGTGGCGTGCAGCCAGGCGGCGTCGGCGCCCTGCCAGGCCGCTCGCGCGGCAGGGAACACGTCGACGGCCCCGGGTGCTGCTTCAACGGCGTACGAACGAGCTTCACACGCAGCACCCCGCAGGCCTCGAGCGGCGAGGATCGCCAGGTCGAGCAATCTGAGGGGGTCTGTCGAGAAAACGTTGTCCAACACCTGCTGCCGTGCCGCCCGCAGCAACGCCCGGACGGCGCGCGGCCGCGCGACCAGCCCCGCTGCAGCCACGAGCGCGGGGTCAGCGCTGACGACGGAGCCGGCGCCGCCACCGGCGGGCCCGCAGCGGCGCTGCAGAGCGACAGTGACGACTGCTCCCAGGCTTGAGCTGACTACCCACTGATGTTGGTCCACTTGGGGGCTGTGGCCGCCGCCAGCGCCCTCCTCGTCCCCGCCTAGCGCCTCCAGTGCGTCGATCAGTGCGGCCATGCGGCCCTCTGTCACAAACGCGTCCGCGACGGCGGGCACTCTGAGCACGAGCTGCACCGCGCAGCTGATGGGCTCGACCAGCGGAAGTTCGGAGGGCGCCGCATGCAAGCAGTCACCCTCTATGCACTGCCGCAGCAGCCGGTCCAAAGTGCGCTCGCTGATCGCCTCCCGCGTAGCGCCTGGGGCGCACGCGGCTGCGCAGGCCTGCTTCAACCTCTCGTTTGCCGCGCCGGCGGCGTCTACTCGGCGCCTCTCGATGCACGACAGCACTTGTCGCAACGCTGCCTCCATCAAGCTGGGGTTGTTACGATGGGTGCATGTAGGAATGAAGGCACAGCGCTGCTCAAATGCAGCAATGGGCGTGAGGCATTGGGATGATGGTATGCTGCTCGCCCACCCACCGCAGCGGCAGCTGCACCCTGCGGCACTTGCTCTGCTGTTGACGGCGGAGGCTGAATAGCATCAAGATGCTTTCCTAGGTGCAATTTACCTGGTGTCTTACCCAACACTGAAGCTTTGACGTACTCCTGCTCGGGTGAGATGGCTATGCGACACGGTCCATTACGCCCGGGCCCTTCCTCAAAGTGAATTAAAATGCGACTTTGGAAATGTGCTTTGCGGAAAATTGCCTGCCTTGATCTATGCCCTTATCGCGGAGGCCCACATATGTTGCGTTACCTGTAGGTGAGTGGGGCGCCGCACGCCAGGGGTGTGCAGCAGAGCTGCTGCTGCCTCACTTTCCTGGCGAACAGGTACGGTACGAGGAACCCTTGTTAATCTGGTATTGAGACAATTGTATCACCTGGCGGACAGGTATGGTACCAGGATTCCCTTCTAAGCCGGTATTGAGGTTTCATCAAAAGCATGAGGCTCCAGCACGGGGGGTTGCCAAGCCGTGAAAGTCGGGACTGTTGCCGCTGCCGCCGCTGCTGCTGTTGATGCATTGACAGGATTTATTGACGCCAGTGCTGCTGGCGTCGCTGGCGCCGTCTTCGCTGCCGCTGGCGCTTGCAGTGAGCTGTGCTGACGCCCCATCTTAGCACAGTGTTCAGTGCACAAAGCCGGAGGTCCAGCAGAGCTATCTCGCCCGTGCGACCTCTTCGAACCCCAATCCTTCATTACATCAAACACCGACCGACAACCCTTAGCAATCAAAGCGCCAGCACGGCAGCTGGCGCATGCTGCTCTCATGTCAAGGTGGGCCTTCCCAGCGACCGCGCAGCCCTCAGCGCGATGCCGGCCTCTGGGGTCTCCAGGTGCCTGCGCCAGCAGCCGTAACGCCAAAGCCTCGCTGACAGCGTCGGTGGCACGGCTGCGTGCGGCAGCTAGCGGCGCAGGCAGGCCTCCGCCGCCCTGTCGCCAGCTGCACACGTCTGCCGCCCTGGGCTTTGTTGCTGTGTTGAGGCAAGCAGCGGCCTTTGTGGGTTTGCCACCTATTTGCCCAGTGGGCTACGAAGCCATTAGGTGGCAGCTCAGCCAAGGTGGCGCACTCACGGCAGCGGCAAGGTCAGACAGACGCAGCGGCGGCTAGCGCAGAGTCAAGCCTGCAACGAAAGGCTAAGGGGAACCTGGTGGCCAAGGAGGCTTCAAGATAGAGGCCATTCCTGATCACAAAGCAGCCTCGAACGAGCTCCCCATGCCTGATTGAGGGCAGCCAGAAACGAGACGTTGCTTAGCCGCCCTGCTCGCGGGGTGGACGATGCGGCCGCAATGACCGTCAACTCTCCAAAAACCTGGGGTTGACCAGCAACGAACAGCGGTGCAGCGCACTGGCGCTCGACGCAATGGCACTGTCACAGCATGGATCGAGGACTTAATGACGCACCCTGACGACGCTGATTGTGAGGCGCCCGCTACACCTGCGGGGCCTGGTCAAGGTTCAGCAGCAGCGGTGGCTGTGCTGAATGCGCCCACGCCTTCACTCCGCTTCCCGAGCTTCTGGTCCTGCCCCTCACGGCCTTGCTTCTGCTCGCCGGTTGGGTGAGCACGTGCACAGTTACCAGGATCGTTACACTGAACAGCACCTTGTGTCTGCACACAAGCGCAGCCCTTGGCACGCCACCCAGAAATGCGGCTGGGTCGCAATGATCCCTCTAGGGACCAGCAGAAACCATGCTAGTAGCTGCCACAGTGTACCCTCCGCCTCCTGCAAACGTACGGCCCCCCAAAAGCGCCGACACCGCATGAACGGCATGCCGGTGGTTTGGCTCGGCTAGCCCAGCAGGGCCTTGGCGTGGTGCTCTATGTGGTCTTCAATGAATGAGGCTATGAAAAAGTAGGAGTGGTCGTAGCCATCCTGCAGGAGGCGGGCGGCCGATGCAAACAACGTCGTGAGGGCCACGGGTCAGGCGGACGCCAAGACTTGTGCATAGCATCAGCCAGGCCACCCAGCCGTGCGCGTGCCCCATCCCCCCCAAACACCCTGGCGGCCCCGTGCAGCCCCTCGTGCGCTGCGCCCTCGGCCGGCGTTTCCCTTGGTCCGGCCTCCCGCGCCGGCCCCTATGTGCAGCGCCCCCCTCGCCACTGCACACTTTCCCTACCGGCAGGTTCAGGCCCTGCCCTGCGTGGCTTGCGCTCGCCCACCTGCAGTCTTGAGGTGATCGGGAACCCCGCCTTCTCCGCCGCAGCCTCCAGCGCCTCGGGGCGCAGCTCGCGCGTGAGGAAGGGGTCGGACGTGCCCGTGTCCACCAGCAGAGGGAACCTGGCGGGGTGGCCCAGGGTTTGGAGGCGATTGACAATCATTGCGGCGCGAGCACCAGGCCAGACACGGACCAGCGCTAGTTACGACAGCAATGGTGCAAAAACAAAGTTACGAGGAGCGAGCCCAGGGCAAGCGCCCAGGGCGCTGGCGGCCTGAGGCACAGGGATCTCTAGTAACTCCCTGAAAACGTGTGCGGCAGCCCGGCCCCCCGCTGCCCGCGCCCTGTATCGCCGCCTGCGCTGGACCTTGCGGGCCCCACGCACGGCGTCCTCTCATCCCTCCAGTCGCTGGCCGCGCTCACTTGGGCCCGGTGTAGCTGGCAAGAAGCTCGCTCGCGTCGTGCTGCTTCCACGCCTCCTTATCAGAGTCGCCTGCATATTAGATTTGCGATTTAGCTGAGTGCATGAGTGGCAGGTGCGGGTGCAAACACCAAGAGGAGCTGAGAGCAACCTGAAATATGTCATGCCTGCAAAGATTCTGTTGCATCCCAAGTACGGTGGTCGCGCTTCAAAGCGGTCGGATGGTGAGCCGATGGGGCTTGAGCCCACAGCACCCATCCGGCGGGCGAGCCTAGTGGCGCCGTACGAGAAGAGACAGGGCCCCGCCGGCAGGCGGCGCGGCTGCAGCTCAGAGCACCAGCCACCCCAGGCCCCTGGTGGAGGTGCGCCCTCACCCAGGTACCCAGCAAACGCCTTCTGGCCCCACGGCACGTTGACCGGGTTGCAGATGGGCGCGAGCGCGCTGACGGACTTGAAGGCTCCCGGGTTCTTGAGGGCGATCGTCAGCGCGCCGTGGCCGCCCTGGAATCATACGGGCGAGGAGGAAACGGCACGGCGTATTGAGAGTGCGCGCAGGGCAGGCATTACGCATGAAGCCGCAGGGCCGGTGAGGACAGGGCGCGGTCAAGAGGGCATCAGCAGGCAGGCAAGTGCACGGGCGGGCGGGGGCGCGGCCTGGGCCGCACCATGCTGTGCCCCATGATGGCCGTGTTCGAGGTGTCTAGGGTGGGGAAGTGCGCCGCCAGCAGCTCGGGCAGCTCCTGAGGAGGTGCGCGTCGTGCGCGGGAAAGCGGGACCGTTTTTGAGAATTCCTTGGGTCTGGTATGCGAGGGCCTGCCAAGACTCGCCAGCCTCCAGGGCTGACGGCTGGGGAGGGGAGCTATGGCCCGTCCTGGCAAGCCCAGTCCGAATGTGCCCCACAAACACACTGACTTGTGCCGAGCCACGCACTGGCCTGCGCCCTGCACAAAGACACACACATCAATGTTTGCATCGCGTGCGTGCGCACACACATGTCACTTGTTCACTCTTGGCTCTTTGCATACTCTCCACTCTCTTTATGAAAGCATGCAGGTTCGCACCCCTGCACGCGTACGCGGGCGTGCACGCACGCATGCGCACACGCACTGACACACGCGCGTGCACACACACATACACACACACACACACACACACGCGCGCGCGCACACACGCACACACGCGCGCGCGCGCGTGTGCGCTGCAGCGACCTTGGTAATGTAGTCATACATGCGCCAGTTTTTCCATTTGTCAACAGTCGCGTTGATGTAGAACCCTGGGGGTGGGCAAGGGGGTGGCATGGCGGCCGTTTGGCCACCAGGGCAGCTTTGCAATGCAGGGGCGGTTGCAAGGTCCCACCACAAAACGGACCCGTCCCAAGTGCGGGGCTGAAACCAGGTCCCAAGGACGCGTGCGGGCCGAGGCCAATCATATCATCGGCGTCTGCCAGAACCACTTGCAGCGCTCAAAAGCCGCGCAGCTGCCGCGCGCGCTGGAACCGCAGTAGGCTCCACTCCTGCCTCCTCGTGAAGAGCGCCCGCACATGCACGAACGCTGGTGCTCAAACAATCTACCGCGGGTGCGATCTTCCCCCACCTGCCCCCACCCACGCACCTAAAGAGACCCCACACTCCACCCTGACCATCCTCGTGCGGAGTCTGCGGTCTCTCATGTGCCGGCTCAACTGGCCAGCATTTCAAGACAGCCCTGACCCCCCACACAAGCACAAACCTAGGTCACAAGCCACTCAGGCATCCACGATAGAGGGGGTGCGCCCGCCCACCTGCGCCGACGCCAAAGTCCCAGGACTCGGCCTCCCCCTCGACCCCCAGCCCCCGTGGCGACGTGTCTGGCGCGACAAAGGCAATGCCCTTTGCCGCGCAGGCGCGCTGGGCGCCGCTCTTCTGGATCACATTCTCGTCGGTGCAGGTCAGCCCTGAGAGGTAGAACAACACTGGAAGCTTCGCGTCGGCAGCTTCCGCGGCGGGCGGGAAGTAGACCGTGAAGTTCATGTCGCAGCCCAGCGTGGGGCTGGCGTGCTTGTAGCGGCGGTTCCAGCCTTGGGGGTGGGGTGAGGAG